CATTAGCACCTCTAGTAATATATTTACTGAGAAAAATGGTGACGTGTTCAATACTTATTTTACCCGCTGTATAAAGATGTTTTCTTTATATCTGAAGGATCTACACGTCACCGGTACTTAAGGATTCGGTACCTGATTGAGGGGAATGTCCTGGCCGACCATGCAGCGCAGGCAGTAGATGAGAGCGGACAGAGTGATGGCTCGGGGGGCGTTGCAGTTCCCCCACACTTCTGTTCCCGTCCCCGTGAAGTCAAACACCGCGCTGCCCTGGAGACATGATTTTTCTTACTTATATGAATTTGCACAAAAAACAAAAAAACAAAAACAAAACAAACAAAAAAAAAAACATTTGAGCTGTCCGTTCTCACCTCCTCCTCGTTAATCTGAACCCTCAGTCTGATCGGCGTCCCGTCGTCCATGAGATCTTCTGACTCCACCTCCAAGGAGCCGGTTTGCTGCCGGCGACGGTGTGCAAACTCTTTCAGCATGTCCCTCACCGCCAGCTCCGCGTTACTCTGAAACACACTTCACAATAAGCTGCGCTTCCACAATAAAAGCATTTTTATTTATTAAAAAAAAAAAGAACAGATTTTCATTTGCAGGCACCTGGATGTACCCCATGTACGCCTGAACCACAGCAAGGCCGTACGTGTCGATCAACTCCCCCACTAACTGGCTGCCTCTCTGATTGGCTGCCACCTGAGCTTGCAGGTCTGACAGGTTGTCGTGGAGATTACGAGTCCCAGAGCAGCCGGGGTACTGAGCCGGAGCCATCAGAGCTTCGGTGACAGCTGATATGGAGAGAAGAGGAAGAGGAGAAGCCGGGGGGCTGTCAGGGCGATGACAGATAAACATGACTGGAAGACAGAAGCATTTATCGAAGAACACCAGGTTCTGGTCCTCTGATCGTGTGTGTGGTCTTAACCTTAAAGCTGGATGTGGTTAAAGCTTCACCATGAAGCTTATATCCATCTACTGGACATAAAATTATTTAAAATGTTCAAAACGTTTGAGATTTTATTTTTATTTTTGAGTAACATTTCACCAAACTTTGTTTTATTTTTCTCGTTATTTGTAACTAGAAAAACACTCATGTCAAGAGGGAAAGAACGATGCAGTTTCTTTTTACAATATTGTAGTTTCAAATTTAGAGCTGTGGTGCGGTTTGTTTGTACAGACGAGTCGTAATTTCCCAGTTCCAAGTTGGACTCAAGAGGTTTCCCACCAAATCCAACATGGCTGCCTCACTGTGATATCTGCGAAAATAAACTTTTAGTTTTTACTTTGGTCACTTTACAAGTCAGAGTCAAGTCTCAAGTCTTTTTCCTCAAGTCCAGAGTCAAGTCTCAAGTAAGTCTCAAATCTTTATCCTCCAGTCCTGAGTCAAGTCTCAAGCAGACAGTCAAGTCAGAGTCAAGTCCCAAGTCTGAAACTTTGAATTTCCAGTCCTTTTGACACTTTTTTAAACAATGTTGCAGTTATATGATAAATGTAAACAACACTTTGTACTTTTATTATAATCTGTATTTTTCTCAAATCACGATGAAACATGTGCAGCTAAACTCTCAAAGTATTTAAAATTGCACCTCTATATTGCACAGTTCAGATTCATTTAGCTGCAAAAATAGTTTTTCATTAAACTATACGTTTCCATTTTGAGAAATCTGGTAAATTTGATTTGCTGTGCTGCAGCTCAAACACACACACATGTGTGCAGAGAGTGTGAAGAACAGAGGGACATTTTACCTTTGTTAATACAGAATGAGTTAATTTAATKAATGGGTCCTACTTTATAAATAATGGGTTTTAAACTTTAGATTTTTGGTAAAACATCAAGTCTTTTCAAGTAAACAGGGTCAAGTCCAGTTCAAGTCCCAAGTCATTGGTGTAAAAATTCAAGTCACAAGTTTCTGAACATTTTTTAAAGTCAAGTCTGAAGTCATAATAGTAATGACTTGAGTCTGACTTGAATCCAAGTCATGTGACTCGAGTCCCCACCTCTGCTGTGTTCACATGATGCAGTGAAATCTGTTATCAGCTTTTATTTAACATTCAGTGATCACAACGATCAGCAACTCCTGCTGGGTTCTCAGACTGGATTAATTCAGATATGACATCACACCCCTGGGTTTTGAATCGGAGGGAAATGAAACAAAGCATTCGTTTTTTTAAGTTAAGTCGACTCGACTGTTTTGATGACCTGAACTGGAGAGAAGCTGAGCTCTGATTGGTTCTGATACAACACACCTTCCTCCTGGAAAATCCCACCACTGACGAGCTTAAAAGAAACGAAGATYGCCCCCTCCTGCTGGAGGGAGGTGGAGTGGGGGGGCATGGAGCCCGGCGTGATGCCTCCGATGTCGGCGTGGTGCCCCCTGCTGGCTACAAAGAACACCGGACTGCTCACTCCCGTTCTGAACACCTGACGGGTGGGGAGAAGGAGACGGGACCGGTCAGGGTGGGGCGAACCCACGGGCAGGAGCGACGCTGAAGGAAACAGACGGACGAGCTGACCGGTGTGATGACGGTGAGGTCCGGGAGGTGGCTGCCGCCGGCACAYGGGTGGTTGCTCAGAATTACGTCCCCTTCGCTCAGCTGGTTTCCCAGTGATCTGATCTTCACATAAAAACAAAACAAACTAAATCCTTCTCTGGTCCTGACAGAACCCAACAGCACACGCACSTCCCTCACCTGGTACTGGACCGTCTCCTGCATGGCTCCCAGATGGACGGGTATGTGGGGCGCGTTGGACACCAGGCCTCCGTCGGGTCCGAACACGGCACAGGAGAAGTCCAGGCGCTCCTTGATGTTCGTGGAGATGGAGGTCCTTTGAAGCACTCGTCCCATTTGCTCTGCAGCGATTAACAGAAGAAACTCAAGAAGGTTCAGCACAACCAATCCTCACCTCTCCGTTTCTCGGCCTCGGTGTACCGGCTATGCTCATGAAGCGGTGGGAGAAGATGGAGAGCTGGACGGTGTTGAGCTCGGTGCCGAGGACGCACCCGTGGTCCGAACCCACAGTCAAGCAAACGTCGCCCTCTTCGGTCAGACGGGCCTCACAGGACGGCTCCACCAGGATGGTGCTGATGGAGGAAAGACGACAAATAGATTCAAAACGTAAAACAAGCTCGACACAGAAAATGTCAAATGTGCAGGGGCGGTTCTAGGGGTGGGACCATGGGGGCAATGGCCCCAGCTGAAATCTGATTGGCCCCCTGAAGTGCCTCTATCCTGTCACTCAACTGTGCTTTACCTAGGAGGGATTATGGTGGATGCAGTTCCGTGTTCAAACACTCGTTGCGCTAATGAGTCAAATAGTAAAATTAAGCTTACAGAATTCTTCTCTTCTTAAGAAAATATGAACAATCCTGCAAAACAATGTCTTTCAGCTGACAAATGGTGGCTGGATTTTCTCACATGTTGTGTGTTTGAGAATATTTTATATATGTACAGTAAAAATGTATGAAAAACTGGCGAGAATTTACTGTGCAAGCTTTTTTGTTACCACTTACCTTATACATGGCTCTTACAAGAAGAGGCTTGAAGTTATTAATTCATCTACAAACAATTTATAAATCATTAATAAATGTTTATTATGCAATAATTAAGGACAAGAAAGAGACAAAACTGTCCAGTTTCTTACCAAATAATGAGCTCACGTCCATATTAAATCTAAAGGTGCTATTTTAAACATTTCAGACAAGGTTATTACATTGTAAACACAAGAATAACAAGAAACACATATTTTAACATATTAATAATGTACTGTATTACTGCACTATAAAAATTCACCATTGCCAAAGGGAGACTTATGGTAAAGTATAATAGAGTACGCTATTAATG